CTGCCCATTCGTGCATTCTTTTCAAAAATCGGGACCTTTTCACTTTTTTTTTTTTTTTTAGACACAGAGTCTTAGGTTGGCGCCCTCAGTAGAGTGCTGCCATGTCACAGCTCACAGCAACCTCCAGCTCTTGGGCTTAGGCGATTCTCTTGCCTCAGTCTCCTGAGTATTTGGGAGTACAGGCGCCCACCAGGGACTTTTTCTTAATTAGTTGTGTCACAGATGCTCAAAGTGGAAAATTAGGAAACACCCTCCAAAAGAGGGAATTCAGGTGGGGATTCCTTCCCCCACAGACCAGCTCTGCAACTTGGCATGATGGTCCCTTTCCCAGCCTCAGTTTCTCCTCTGGCAATGCCCAGGCCTGAGTTCTGCCTTGCTTGGCGTACCCTCCTGCATGCACCCAAATACAAGGCATGTCTTGCTTGGCTGGCCTGCCTAAGGCTTAGGCCCCAGGCAATGGACCACTATTTGAGTCCCAGTTTCCCCGTTTGTTGACAGGCCTTTCCTTCCACTCCTTTATGCGGGTAGGGTGGAGGTGGTGGCAGTGGGTAGGGCAGTGAAAAGAAAGAATGCACTGAGGTTTGTGCAGGGCCCCGGCAGGCCAAGACCTCAGGACTGCTGCACACCCTTTCCCAGGTCCCTGCGTGGTCTGGCCGCGGGTGAGGCAGGGCAGTGGGGCGGGAGGGGGAGCAGGACCTACCGGGGGCGGGGCCTGGGGCGGGGCCGTCCGGGAGCGGGGTTTGGAGCCGGGCCTGGAGCGGGGCCTCCTGGGGGAGGGGTGACCAGGGGTGGGCGGGGCCGTCGGGACCTGGGCCTTGGGAGCGGATTCTGCCGCGCTCGGAACCCGCGGTGGTGGAGGCGGCTGTCAGTCCTTCAGCGCTCGCGCTTCTCCCACGGTCGCTGTCTTTCTCTGTCTCGGGTTGCGCTCGGCAGATCCGTCCAGCGTCCTCGCGGTGTCCGGTCGGGCCCAGTCCCGGGGCAGCGCGGGCGCGGGCTGCCCCATGGCCGCCATCCGGGCGCTGCAACAGTGGTGCCGGCAGCAGTGCGAGGGCTACCGCGACGTGAGCATCACCAACATGACCACGTCGTTCCGCGACGGTTTGGCCTTCTGTGCCATTCTGCACCGCCACCGGCCCGACCTCCTGTGAGTGCTCCGCCGTGTCTGGCGCCCTTTGACCCCACTGCAGGGCAGCGCGTCAATGCGCGCGAGTAAACTGAGGCTCAGGCCTGTTCCGGTCTTGGGGAATGAGTCGGAACTCGTGGGCCACGGGCCCCAGAGGTAGCCGGTATGGGACTGGGCAGAGCAGGTCCTGCAGGCACAACCCCAGGGCTCCCCCTCGAAGATCCCCCGAAGGCCTCTGGTGGCCTCAGTCTGCCAGTCCACCAAGTGGAGCTGGACCCAGGCCAGGACATCCAGCCGCCCCCGCTGGCTTAGTCAATCCATGACTCAGGGCAGTGTCCTGGGTTCTGACCACAGCCTCCTTCCTTCATTTGTTCCCTGGGGCCCTCTGAGACCCTTACTGTTAAAAATTCGATCCAAATTAGGTCACTCAGGATTCCAGTGTGGGCTATGCCTTCCCCTCAGCAGGTCCTGGCCCCTTTGGGAGTGTAGCCCAGAGCCTCTATGGGGGGAGGGCAGAGCAGGAACCCTTGATATCCCAGGTACTGTTGGACAGGCCTCTGCACCACAGGGGGTAGAGGATGAGATGGAGAATGGATCCCTATCCCTGGAAGCTGCAGGAGGTGGGAAGGAGTTGGAGTGGTGGCCCATTTCCCCCCAGAAGAGTCTTGACTGGGGTGGCTGAAAGGCTGACTCTGCCTTAGTGCCAATTCATGGCCCAAGTCTGGACCTGCTCCATTGGTTATTCACTCAACACTCTTTGCCTGAATGACTGGGACCAAGATTGCTGAAACAGACCCGTGTGCCTAGGCTGGGTGGCCAGAGTCTCAGGAAGTGGGGAAGGAGGTCCTCAGAAGGCTGCCTACAGCCCAGGGCAGTTTCTGAAAAAAGCATTCTCCTGGGAAGCTGTGGTTGCAGCTGTGGTGGGGGGGTAAGTGTGCCAGGGAGGCCTTGGGGCTGGGAGGGGCCTCCTGGATGCTGGCATCAGTCAGACCCCTTGCTGTGAAGATGGAGATATTGAGCCCAGATAGGAGGGGTCTTTGTTTGGGTCATACCAAGCAGACCCAGGGTTGGCACCAGGGTCTCTTCCTGTACCCCCAAGCACTGTCCCCCCAGACCACTCCATAGGTTAGCTGAGGTCTTGGCAAGAGGCCAGGGCTGTGGCTCTGAGGTTGTAAAATGCATTCATGAAGCTGCCTGGAAGCCTCTGCCCCCCTCAAGGATGTGCCTCAGTCACTCATGGAGGCAGAAGACATTGGGCAGAAGATGTGTTCACATCGAAAGCCCAAAGCTGAGCTCTGATGGGAGAGGGCCGGGGACCTGGAGCCTGGGAGAAGGACCACTTTAGGGAGGTTGGCAGTCTAGGCCCCACTGGGGTACAGGTCCCAGGTGAAGCTGGCTTCTGGCTGAGATAAGACCCATATGAAAGGTCTTCAAGTGGAGGGAAAGATAGTACTGCAGAACATTGACCCAGAATCTGGTCAGCGGGTGTCCCTCCTGGCCTTGGGAGCTTCCATCTCTTCCCAGCTATGCTGAGGTCAGAGGCCTGGGTGTGCATGGGAAGCACAGGTACACACATGTGTATGTGTGCTGGCACAAGCAGGCATCATAGATCCATTCATTTAACTGATAGTTACTGAGTGCCTGCTGTGTACCTGTCACTGTGTACTGTATAAGATCCCTTTGGTTCTCAAATGCAGGGAGCATCATTCTAGTCTCAGACAAATAGTAAACAGGTAAATGAATCAAAGCTCAAGATGACTCCCAATAATGGAGGGGGCAAACAAGAAGGAGGCTGGAGGAAGGAGAGGCCAACCACCTACACAATCATGAAGGCATGGCCTTATTATTGCTGCCTCTGTTATTGTCTGTCTGTCCCCACTGGACTGCTAGCTCCAGGGGTTGGAGGTGTCTGTTTTGTTCACTGCTATATCTGCACTGAGCTCAGCATGTGGTCAGGGCTCTTTGGGTATGGAGGGACATGGTAGCAGCTTAGTGGGTACCCATGTGCAGAAGGAAGCAGGAGGCCATGTGCCCATGGAGCAGGGAATTGACATTGGACTTCAGGCCTCCAGAAGGTGAGGGAACATACTCCTATGTTCTCAGCTTCCTTGTTGTGGTAGTTTTTTTTATAGGAGCAAAAGGAGTTACAGGTATCCATAGGTGTCAGCCCCATCATGATGGGGCTTGTACCTACTGGCTGGTGGACACTGTTGCTGTGTGCCTGAGGAGGGTATGCTGAGAATTTAGGGACACATGCCTGTGGGTGCCTATCACAGGAAGGGGAGGAAGCCATGTGAAGGATAGGTACAGGGTGCTGTCTTTTTGAGGGAGCCCTGAGGTCAGACTTTGGATGAGACCTTGGCCTGGTGAGCCCCAGCCCCCAACACTCTTGCCCTCCTTTCCTTCCAGTGAAGACCCTCTGGCAGCAGAAGAGTGGATGTCCTGTCTGGTATTCCTAGCTCTGCCACCAGGAAGTCCTGCCCTTTGTCTGGTCTAAGTCCTTCCTGCTGCATGCTGAGTGCACTTCCGCTTGTCCCTCAGTGGAGAGCAGCTGTGAAGGAACAAGCCTGGCGCTGAGCCAGCCAGGTGGGGCTCCTTGTTCTGCCTTTGCCCTGCGGCCAAGGGGAAGAGGCGCTAGATATCAGGGAGTTCATGTGTCCTGTGTCTGTTCTCCAGGCACTGTGATTGGCGAGCCCCACCGGGACCTGGGAGGTGTGCAGTTTCTACTTTCCCATCATGAAACAGGCTTACCTGGTGACACTCACCAGGAGGTAGCAGGGGACAGACAACTCCCTGCCTGGTCAGCCAGCTACCATCTGCCCTACCCTTAGCTCGGGGTTTCTGCAGGTACTGCCCCAGGGTTTGTTTCTCCTGTGACACTGGTGAGCTCCAGAACCACCCAGAACAAATATCCCTGCCTCTTGCTGCCTTGGGCAGTCAGGGCCTCAGAGGCCAGAGAGGCCAGTCCTCCTCCTTCCGGGTCTGAACTCAGACAGGCAGGGTGGGGCTGGGAGCTCTGCAGTGGGCAGAGGCTCAGGACTGGTGGACTTATGGAGGGACCTGGGGGGAATGTCATGAAATTGGGGTTCTGTTCCAGACTCCCCGCCTCAGTCCTGCCAGCGCGGGAAGCCAGCTTATGGTGGGGTTGGCTTGTAAGACCTTGTAGGGGTTCTTTGAAGCCCTTGCCAATGGCTCCCTTACTGTGGTTGGGCTCCCAGGTCTTGCCTGGTTTGGGGGGTCAGGGAAGACCCGCAGAGGTACCTCCCAGAAGCTTGGAGAGAGTGCTCTGGCCAGAGCAGAGGGTGGGCTGAGAGGGTGGGGCTCCTTCCCCCAGGCTGAGTTGGGTCAGCAGGAAGCTGCCTGGGGACAGAAGACTTATTTTCCTGGCCAGGCTGGGGCATGCTGCCCAGACCCCTGGTGTTACCTTTCTGGGAGGAGCTGCCAGCCCACCTAGGGACAAGAGCAGCCCAAGGCCTAGCACTTTTTTTTGAGGGGCCCAGCAGGGAGGATGTCCTCACTCTCTTCCCCCCATCTTTGATATGGTTGTGTCTGTCTTGGTGACTCTGTGGCTTTGCCATCCCTGAGTTCCTCTCTCCTGTGTCTTCTGGGCCTTTTGGCATCTGTTTCTCTCGTCTCTGCCTCTCCCCTCTCTCCCTCTGCTCTTGTTCCCATGGGAATCACTCCAGACTTGCTGGTGGGGCCTGGAGAGGGCTTGGCCAAGCCTTTCTCCTTTCCCAGCCTGGTGCCCACCCCTCGTGGCTACATTTTGTTCCAGGAAATAAACAACATGAGGTCAGCCACCCAGGAATTTGGAAGGGGTTGTATGTGCCTGGAGTCCCCCAAGGCATGGGGGCAGAAGGTCGTCTTGGCTCTGTGAGCTGAGGCCAGCAGTCTGGGGGCTCAGTGGGGCTGGCGGGGCAGGCAGTGACACATGAGAAATTCATTTGTTTGGCCAAAACTGAAAGAATAAATTAAAGCCTCAAAAATCTCATTCTGCAAGCACTGAATTATTTCATCCACAAGCATTTATAGAGCACCAACTGTGCAAAGCGCCAAGGTAGGTGGCTTGGAGTTATACCAGAACTTACTTGATTTTAATTGTGAGAATTTAAGTCAAAAAAATAATCTAATTCTGAGGAGTGTCCTGGGCTCAGCACACTCCCTGCCCAACCGGGTCTTGGGGCCATTTCTGGCCACCTCATCATCTGCTCACCACCCCAAGCAAGGGTGAAATTGATGCAGTTTTGCCCAGCAAAGCCTTAGACTCAAGGTACCCACTTCCCTGTGGGTCAGCCAAGGCCAGGTGTGTCAGTCAGCTTGGCCTACCATGCAGAGTACCAAAAGCCAGGAGACTTAAATAATGCCCCCTCTCATAGCTCTGGAGGCTAGTAGGCCCAGACCAGGGTGTTGGCAGGATGGGACTGTGTGGGCTGCTCCTTGGCTCATGGGTGGCTGTCTTCTCCCTGCCTGCTTCACATCCTCTTCCCTGTGTGTTCCTATGTCTGAATTTCTCCTTTATATGAGGACAGCAGTCATTGGATCAGGGCCACCCCAAAGGCCCCATTTAAACTTCATCACCCTGTGAAGATCCTGTTTCAGATGAGGTCTTGTGCAGAGTTCTGGAGGACAGCGCTTCTATGTGCCGTTTTTCAGCACCATTCAACCCATAACATTAGGGGCCCTGGCTGGTAGAATGCTGGCTGCAGTGGGCTTCCTGGAGGGATAGGTAGGGTCTCTGCTTGGTGCTCTTATGGGGTTTGCAAGGTGATTCTGACTAGTACTTTCCACAGCATCTGGCCGCAGAGCTCAGCTCCTCAGGGTCCAGACCCTTTCCTGCAGCAGGGTCGAGGGCTCAGGGACTGCAGGTACCAGAGCATCAGGCAGCACTAGGACAGGACATTCATAGCAGGAAACACTGGACCTCAGGGAGGCAGGAGGGGTGTGATGGCCGTGGACTGGTCAGGGTGGCCCAGCCCAGTGTGGAGGCCTCAGAGGCCCAGGAAAGCAGCTTGGACTTGGTGTTGAGGGCTGACAGTCCTTGAACTTGCAGTCCAGGCCTGTACACGTTTGCCCTGTGCAGTGGGCACTAGCACTGCTGTCCTGGGGCATCTAGAAGGCTCTGGGGCACTCTGGTCTGCCATAGAGCTTACTCACTCTGGACTGGGGACGAGATGGCCGTACAGGGGCAATTGCCACAGCCCCCGGGTAGACAGAGGAGTCTGGTGCAGGAGGCAGAAGGCCTCCTTCTCTCATTTTGTTTAGAGAGAAAATAGGACTTGTTATCCTGCCCTTCCAGCTGGGGCATCCCTGCTGGCTGTTTCAGTTAGTAGAGAAGGTCTACAGAAGAGTTTGACCCTTCAAAGACTTGGGGAGCAGAGAGAGCATGAGTCCCTGTACCCCTCAGGTGAGGAGCGTCCTGGGTGTGGGAGGGAGGTGGCCACCCATGTGCCCTTGGGCATTCCTGGGGTCATACCGCATCTGGGGACAAACCTAGGAGGACAAGGGATTCTGCCCAGACCCAAGGCCCTGGGCACAGGCTGGGGCTTCTTTCTTGTCATCTGTGCACTGGACACAAAATTGTGTGCATAGAGCTCTCTCTGCCCTATGGTCTTGGCATCTGGAACACGTTACCTGGGAGGTGTCCCGAGGAGCTGGGCAGATCAATGGAAGGCAGGGATGGGGACAGACAGGGTGGCCTCTTCTGGAGGGGTAGAACAAACTGGAGCCCCATCCCCCTATCCCATTGCAGAGCTGCTCCAGTTTGCACATGTGCAAAATGGGCTTATAGTCTGGACCTCTGCCCAAACTCCTCCTCCTGTGCAAGGAGGCTTCCAGAACAGTCCAGCTCATGCTGCCATAGTAACAGGTGTTTGGAACCCCACAGACAGTAACATGAACAGATCACTTTTTTCTTTTTTGAGATGGGGTTTCATGTGTTGCCTGGGCTGGTCTTGAACTCCTGGTCTCAAGTGTTCTGTCTCAGCCTCCGGTAGCTGGGACTATGGGTGTGCACCACTGTACTGGCTTCCAGGTCACTATTTAACCAATTCTCTTGAGAGCAGCAGCCCCTGCTCAGGGTCTGGTGGTCTTTTTCAATGTCTGAGACTGGGCAGGGGCCACCTGCGTGTGGTCTAAGTGTGCTTTCTGCTGAGAGTGTCCTTTGGTGGATGTGATGGCTGTGGTGTGCCCATGCTGGGCATGTACACAGAATCTGGTACCTGCCTGAAATGTGTGGGGCTGTGCTTGTGGCCTCTCCAGGATGCAGAGGGGGGCTGGGCATGCAGTGGACGCTTAGTGATGCTACTTCAGGGAGGAATGAAGAAGCAGTGGGACCCCAAATGGTCGGACTTGAGCCAGGGCCCAGTTCTGACTGCGGTTTCCCTGCAGTATGGCCTCTGGCAATTCTCTGAGCTGCTCTATGCCTCATTTTCCTCGTCTGTGTGATGGGGACATGACAGTGGCCACTCTATAGGTGGGGTATGTGCCTTAAGAGAGTTTATAATTTGTGAGGAGCTGAGAACTGAGAGCAGCACCCTCACATGAATGGAGAGTCAGACAGGTGGGGGGAGGGGTCATTCCAACCCTCAGGGTGGTGTGGCTGGCAGCCGTGGGCTCTCCTTCACTCTGTGCGTTGGTGCTGCCCCCAGCCTTGGGAGCCTCTTATATACACCCATGTTGTTCTCTGGGCACCAGAAGGCCTGACCACAGCCCATCTGATGCCCAGGCATCTGGAGGTGGTGGTGGCTTCCTGGTGCTCACAGCATTGCTGTGACCAGGGAGGGTCTAGCCAGCCCTCCTTGTGTTCCCTCATTTCTACACAGCCCCTTGTGGCCTCCACTTGGGCAAGGTAACCTCTGAGGCCCTTCCATCCCTTGGACACCAGTGTTTCTGCCTTCCAGGGACTTTGATGCTCTCAGGAAAGAAAACATTTATGAAAACAACAAATTGGTAAGTGCCCCTCTCTCAAAGCTGCTCAACTAGCCTGCCTTGTGCCCCTAACCTGTGTCTGAGACCTCTGGACCTGTCTAGGGCATCCTGCTGTTGAGGCCGGGGGCTCGCTGCCCAGCTCATCCTGGGCCCCAGGCCTCCCCAGCACTCCTTCCTCCGTGGGGAAAGTGAAGGAGCATAAAGTGTCCTTGGGGCAGGAGTGGCTGTAGGGCGGGGCCCCAGGGGATCACAGGTGGGCCAGCTGCCATCTCTACCCCAGTACCAGCTTCTAGGCCTACCTACAGTCCTGCTTGCCTTCCCCAGCCTCTCCCCCATGCCCAGCCTCAGTTTCCTTGTTGCAGAATGAGCTCCACTTTCTCTCATGGCCTATTGCACAGGCTGGATTCATCATTTGTCCTACAGGGAGGTGATGGGCCTGCACTGGTGCACTGTGGAGCTGGCATTCCAGCAAGGGCAATGGTCAGTGCACAGGACATGGTCAAGCCTGCTGTCACTGCCTGGCTTGTGGGCAATTTTAATTTAACTTAATTAAAATAAAATTAAATTAAAAATTCAGTTCCTTGGCCATGCTGGCATTTCAAATGCTCACAGCCATACGTGGCTGGTGGCCACAGTATTGGGCAGGGCAGCATAGAACACATCCTTCTCAGGAAGTTCTGACTGTGCTGCAAACAGTGCAGCTTGTTGGGCAGGAATAAGTGCTGTGGAGATAGATGAAGGAAAGAAGGTGGCAGAGCATGGGGGCTGTGGTGTGTTTTTTTCAGGGGGCATCCTATAGCACAGCCCTGATGGAGGTCAGGGAACCCTGTGGATACCTGCAGAAGGGTGTTGGGGGCTGCAGGAGCAATGCCCTGAGGCTGGAGGGCACTGGCTTTTAGAAAAACACCCAGGGGCCTAGAGGCCCAGGAGCAAGACATTGTAGGCAGGAGGAGGATGTGGGTTAGCATGGTATGGGAAGGACTGTGGTGGCTAGACCCTGAGAGGTATGATCTGTGTCTAGAAAGGGCTAGGTGACAGGAAGGTGGGGCACCTGGCTTACCATGGTGGCTGTGGAAAGGGCCGCATTCTGGAAGTGTCTGAAGAAGAGTTAGAGGTAGTACCCAGCCTTAGGGGGCAGAGCTCACTTGTGCTGTGGCCTGGGAGCACCGTGGAGATATGAGCCTGGCACGTATGGAAAGGCAGGGGGACAGATGTGAGGGTCATCAGGCTGTGGATGGAGTGTTTAAAGGCAAGAGACTATCTGGGCTTACCCAGGGCAGGTCAGGGAAGGGGACAGATGGGGCTGGGACCCTAGGCTCATTGGGGAAGAGGAGGGGGTGACTGGTCCCTGGGCTTGGCTGTGTGCTGGTGTGAAGCCAGGAGAGTGCAGGGGGTGGAAGCATTAAATAAACCAGCCTTTGTTGCAGGCGTTTTGTTGCTGGGGGAACCAGCAATGGGCTTGTGGTTAGCGGAAGTGAAGTCTATGGCAATTTGTCTTCCATGGGGAAGTGTGGGCACATCTGGAAGACTGTGGAGTGGGGTGGTGACCCTGGCAGGAGAAAGAGGGGGGCTTCAGGCCAATATGGCCACGGAGGCAGGTGGTCTGGGTCGGGGGAACCCTGGGTGGCCCTCAGGCCCTAGAAGAACCCAGCTCTGGACTAAGTGAGGCCAGCAGGCCCTGTGGAACTTTTTTGTGCCATGTTTGGGGACTAGGTGCTAGTTCTATTGGGGGGGGTGTCTATGTGCCACCCCTGCTGGGGTTTCTCTAAGTGGGTATAGCACTTAGAGAGAGAAGGGGTAGGTGGGGGTGCTTTTAGGGAGGACATGGGATCAGCCCAGGGAGGAGGGAGGCTGGGTGAAGGGCAGGACAGTGTGGATCTTTGGTTAGAGCTCCTCAGGTTCAGAGGGCTGCTGGGGCTATGTGGTCACGGCAGGGGTGGAGAGGGGCTCTGAGGCTGAGATCCACTATCTGTAGGTAGTGCAGTTCTCCTGGCCCTCCCCAGCCGCCAAGGCTCCTTCCCACAGTGCTTTGGCTTCCAGGACACCGGCCACCTCTGTGTCCCTCTTGGACCCTGAAGGGCTCAGTGGGCTGGGCAGGTGTTGACCCCTCTGGAGAGAACTGCTCCCTGAGCTTGGGTATGTGGGCTTAGGTGTGGAATAGGCCCAGAGATACCGCCAAGGTGATGTGGTCTGAGGTGGGGCAGGGCCTCAAGAGCCCCCTGGGACCAGCTCCCAGAGCAACTTCAACCCTGCACAGTTAGGACTGAGCCAGAAATATAGATGGGTAAGCTGAGGCTCACACAGCCACATGGGCAGAGCAGAGCACAAGCCCAGGAGAAGGGGTCCTCTGCTTGCTTTTCTGACCCAGGCCCCTCCCTAGGCCTTCCGTGTGGCTGAGGAGCAGCTGGGCATCCCGGCCTTGCTAGACGCTGAGGACATGGTGGCCCTGAAAGTGCCTGACCGGCTGAGCATCCTGACCTATGTGTCCCAGTACTATAACTACTTCTGCGGCCGGTCCCCCAGTGAGTTCACCATGCAGCCCCCATGTGGCTACCCTCTAGCCTGACCTCTTGGCCCAACCCAGTCCTGCCAGCCTGGCACCCAGCATTGCCCCTCATGAAGCAGGCAACATGTGGGTGGGGACCCTAGTGCTACATCTTCTTCCAAGGAGTTTGGGCCTTTGTCTTGCTTCTAGTGATGTGTAGGGTCCCAGCTCCCCAAGCCCCCAACCTGTCCTGGCTTGGGAAGGGCTCCAATCCCCCTACCCTCTTTTCAGGGGAGCTCTGCCTCCTCCCCTGCTCCTGGTCTTAGGAGTCATTCCTGCCTTGGGGAGGCCTGGCAGGTACATGCAGAGCCCCAGGCCTGGCTTCAGCTGGTCCTAATTTGGGACTTGTGGACGCTGGGCTGGCTAAGCAGGAGAGATTACAGACTTTACCCTGGCCCTGTGTGTGCAGCTACCCAGCTCCTCCCACCCCATAGCCCTCTTTTGGCTTCAGAAATCCCCGGAATCATGCCAGGCACAGGGCCAGCCCTTCCTGGTGGAGAAACAGAAAAGTCCCTTTTTCCTGACCCCATGGGGGCCACCAGAATGGGGTAGGAAGGGGTTTGGGCAGGGCCGGCTGTGCTGGGAAGCACATGCCCTCAGACTGCTCTCCCCAGCCAGCCCCCCCTAGAGGCAGGAGCCTCCGGAGTCCATGCCAGGCCCTCTTGGGCCCCTTCAGAGCCTGGGGCAGGGCTGTGATGGGCTCCTCTAACACCTGCTTGTCTTGTACCAGTTGGGGGTATGGCTGGCATGAAACGGCCTCCATCGGGCTCTGAAGAGGAACCATCTGAGAAAAAGGCCCCAGCCCAGCCAGCCTTGTCCTCCCCAGCCCGGACAGACCCTGTTGCCCAGAGGAAGGGTGGGGGCACAGAAGAGCCACTCACACAAGCTGTAAGCACCAGCCCTGCTGTCCTCTCTTTTCTTGGGTTGTCCAGCAGTTCACATTGAGTGGGCCTGGGGACATGTGCTGTAGCCCCTAACTAGGTCCCAGGTCCAGACATGGCCTTAGCTGCTGTATCAGGAGCTGCCTGGGACTACCACCCCCAGCTCCTTCAACTTTGTCTAGGATAGAGTGTGACTCCTATTATCCAGATGAGTAAGCTGAGGTCCATTGAAGCCACAGGTGGGACAGAACTTGAACCTAGATAGGACAGTGCCTCCCTCTGGGGTGAGAAGGGTGCTGGGTTGTACCCTGAGCCCCAGAAGTGGAGCCAGAGGTCAGAAGACTTGTGACTGGGCACCACTGCTGCTTGGGCTGGCGCTCCAGGGCCTTGGCAATGGGAATTGGGTTGGGTCTCTGTGTGGGGGGTGCAATAGGAGGTGGGGATCTGTCCCCAGGTGCTCCCACCTCTTCCTCAGGACCAGCCTGGGTGTGAGCCCTGATGAGTCCCCAGCCAGCTGCCACTCTGGGGGCTCAGTTCTCCTGTCTGTAAAATAGGATCATCCAGGCTTGGCGCCCATAGCACAGTGGTTGCAGTGCTGGCCACATACACTGAGGGTGGTGGGTTCGAACCCAGCCTGGGCCAGCTAAAAACAACAATGACAAGTGCAACAAAAAATAGCTGAGGCATTGTGGTAGGCACCTGTGGTCCCAGCTACTTCGGAGGCTGAGGCAAGAGAATCACTTGAGCCTGGGAGTTTGAGGTTGCTGTGAGCTGTGACACCACAGCACTGCCGAGGGGGACATGGTGAGACTCTGTCTCGACAAAAAAAAAAACCAAATAGGATCATCTGGCACACCTGTGTGGGGAGGGAGGGCCAGGGTGGGCACTAGCCCAGAGAGGTTAGCTGGCATCTCCCCCAGGGCCTGGTGTCGGGCAGCTCGGTGAGCAGCACCTGTGGGGTCTGTGGCAAGCATGTGCACCTGGTGCAGCGGCACTTGGCTGATGGGAGGCTCTACCACCGGAGCTGCTTCAGGTAGGACCTGCCCAGACACCTCCCAGGGCTCCTGTGGCTCCTGCTTGGCCATGTCCTGGGCTGGGCTATTGTCAACACCCCAGGGCCTGACACCCTTCCAGCTCCCCTTCTAGACACACTGACTCAATCTCCCTCACATGCCTCAGCCTTTCATGCTGGGGCTTCTCACTCTGTGACCATCCACAGCTCCCTGCCTTGCTGGGGCCTCCTGGAGGACTAGCATAGGGCCTGCCTCAGTATGTCCACCATGTTGCAAGCTGAGGTGGGCCAGCCCCCGAGGCAGGTCTCAGGGTAGTCTGTGTGTGTGTGTGTGTGTGTGTGTGTGTGTGTGTGTATGTATGTATACGTATGCCATGTGCTTGTATCTACTGACATGCACAAGCACTTTCTGGGGTGTACCTCTCACAATGAGCCTTCCACGTGTGACTCAGAATGGTTAAGGACCATGAGAAGAGGTGTTTGTTGAATGACTTAGCAACCACATGAATGGACATGGAAATACGTAAGTTCATGACAGATGAACGCAAGCCTGGTGCTCCTGGTGATTTTCTCTCCCAGATGTAAGCAGTGCTCCAACACGCTGCACTCAGGCGCCTATAGAGCCACAGGGGACCCAGGGGTCTTTGTCTGCATCAACCATCATCCCACAGCCACCTCTGCAAGCACCAAGATGCCTGGTCTGACAGCCAGACAGCCAGCGGCCAGCCCCATGGATTCTAGTCCCCTCAGCACACAGAGGAAAGCCCAGGAGACAAATGGGCCCCAGGCCAGGCCACCTGCCCGGGAGCCTGCCGTAGGCAACTCAACTGCCAGAGGTTTTGTTCCAGCTGCATCTAAAGCTCCAGCCACCTCCTCCACCCACATCCGTGTGCAGAGCCCAGCTAAGCCTGGGATCGTGGAGAGCCCAGTGGCTTCCACCCCTGTAGAGAGCACAGCCCGCACACGTGTGACTAATAGCTCACCATTGGGGTGGTCATCGCCTTCCCAGGGCAGGGTGGCACCCAGCTCCTGTCCTGTTGTGCCTCAAGGTGCCCTGGACCCTTGCCCAGCCCCCCCACCAAGCCAGGGACCCTCTCATGGGGCTGCTCCTCAGACCAAGCTCAGTTCCAGCTCAGCATCTCCAGGCCCAACAGACTCCCCAGCCTGGACCCCTTCTACCTCCAAGACCCAGCAGGCCCGAGAGAAGTTCTTCCAGATACCAGGAGTGCCCCCCAGCAGCAGCCTGGCTGGCAGGGCCCTGGCTCCGGTGGGAGCTCCTGCAGACAGCAGCAGAGAGCAGGCTGTGAGCTTCCTTAGGAAGGCCCTCCCCGTGCTGGGGGCTGCCAGCACTCAGGCACCTGCCAGGTGGGTACAGAGGGAGGGGCTGGGAATGCGCACCCACCTGCCAGCCAGTGTAGGCCCAGGAGTTCAGGGGCCTTGGGGCATCTGGGAAGGTCAGGGTTCCCTGCCCTAGCTGTGTGACTCTGGGGCTGTGCTTCCCCCAGCCTCGGTTTTCTCACCTGGGAAATGAGGAGAGTGAGAGTGAGACAGAAGCAGTGGTGCCAGGCATTCAGGGTGGTGGGAGATGGGTTATTAGGGAAAAGCTGCTGTCTGCATGTACTCAGGGTACAGTGACGCTGCCACTGTGGGGCCTTTAGTGCAACATACTCATTGATCCCAGAGAACTATATTTCCATTTTACAGATGATGAAATAGGTTGTGAGCAGGGTCAACATATCAGCTGGGTGCAAGAGCTGGCTTCTCTGCATTGGGCTGGCTCTGGACCTCCCCGCCTTGAGCCTGCACCAGTTCAGTGTCTTCTGCCTGTCTGGACGCTGAGCAGGTGCACTGGCAGGCAAAGCAGAGGTGCTAGGCCTGTTTCCTAAGCAGCTTGCTCAGGTGGCTCAAACAGCAGAAATGTTGACCATGTGTCTGATGTCACATGTGTGTAGATAGGGCCATGCTCATTCCAAGGGCTCTAGGGGAGGGTCCTTCCTGTCTTTTCCAGGTCTTGGTGGCCCCAGGTGTTCCTTGTTTGTGGCTGGACTGCTGAGATCTCTGCCTCTGTCATCACATGGCCTCCTCTCTGTCTATCTCTTCTCTTCTGTCTTTTTTGAGGACACTGGTAATTGGATTAGCGTCTGCCCTCATGCAGTGTGAGCACATCTTAACACGATCACATCTGTATAGACCCTAATTTCAGATAAGGTCACACTCTGAACTTGATGGTGGACATGAATTTTAGGGGGACATCAACCAAGTATAATCACCTTGTAAGGGAGGTCACATCCAGGCTGCGCCACACAGAGTCTGCTGCCTCTTGCTACCCTCACTGTAGTAGGGATGTTCTCACTCAAAGCCGCTGTTTGCCCACACTGGGCTTCTGGGTGTCACAAGGATGGGCAGGAGTGTGAGTCCCCTCTGTCCCTGGGTCTGGGGGTGTCAGAGCATCATAGGGGCTGAGGAAGTGTTTACTGCTCTGGGGACTGCTCCCTGCAGGCATATCTGGCTGGAGAGGGGCTGGCTCCTCCTGGGAACAGCCTGGTCATCCCAGAGCCCAGAGTAGAGGGAAAAATTGGTTGTAAGAGGGAGTGAGGGACACGGGGGCTGCCTTGTGGCTTGGGGAGGTGCCCCATCTGCCTTGGGGCCCCAACAACTGTATGCTGTGCTGGAGGGAGTGTGGGGTGGCCCAAGCCTGCAGGCCTCATGGAGGCCTTGTGTCTGACTGGGGCCAGTCCAGAGTTCTGGGAAAATCTGAGCTGCTTCGTCCCGTACCCCATCACCCACATGTGTGCTGTGTTTCGGGGATCTTTTAATCTCAGCCTGCACAGGATTTAACAGCAGAGTAAAAGCAGTCACCAACATATGCTGATGCCAGAGGAGATGCCTGTGGCCCATCCCTCACTGGGTGGTGTTCCCTCCCTCTGGCTACAAGGGAGGCTGAGGGGTTTTTGCCTGGAAGTAATGGTTGGAGGGTCCCTGGACCCACCTTTGCCTGATGCTTGCTCTCTTACTCCCAGGCCCTCCCCAGCCACCTCCTCGGCTCCCACTTCTCTAACCCAAACCCAAGGGCCACAAGCATGTTCCTCAGCTGGGCCATCACAGTCAATGTCTCCCTGGACCCTTACCCCCCGCGTGAAGACAGAGCAGCCAACCCCCCTGAGTGTGGGCAGCACCTCACAGGCATCCACATCGCCAGGAGGAGGAGCGGGCAGGAGGATCTCGGCTGTGTCCTCAGGGAACAGCAGTGTGGGCGCTGGCTCCAGGCTGAAGTCAGAGCCCCTGACAGCACAGAGTAAGAGCCCTATTTATATGGGGCAGGTGAGGGGCCTGCATGTAGGTGACTGCCACATCTGCAGCTCAGGGACACTCCACCAGGGCATTGCTTGGTGGCATTTCCTGATTCACAACTGCCCTGTCCTACTCTGCTGTATGGTCACAGCCCACCCCCTGGGTCCCAGCCCTCTCCTCTGCATGGGGGCAGCAGATGTGCCCAGGGCCACACCATTTGATGGCACCCTTGGCTGCCTGCTCCTTGTCTTCCTGTTTGGAGCTCCATCTGCTGGTGACACTGGGTGGCTCATAATGGCTGGGTTCTGCCTTGGTGTGTGGCATCTCCACTTCAACCAGAGGGGTTTGCACGGGCAGTTCCGATGTGTCATGTTGTGGGGTGATGCGATGGGAGTGATCTGTGCTTTGAGGGTGCTGCCACCACCCAGGCCTGGGCCCTCCCGGACACTCCCTGGGCTGTGTGGTCCTGTTAAAGCCTCATGCTTTTTTGGCTAATGGCAGAGCTGGAGTTTTCTAGGCATCTCGGGCAAATCCTAGAAGTGCTGTGGGGTTATCGAATTGAGCCAGAGAGCAAGCTGTGCTAGAGTTTTTCCAGATTGTCCCTCTGGCTGAACCCCTCCTTTTAGCTACTCTGAGGTTGGAGTCAAGAAAGCCCATGGCTGGCAGCCATGGTGGGTGTTCGCTTTGCACAGGCAGGGCCCGTGAGGTTCTTGCTGCCACAGCCCCACCTGTGTGGCACAAGGAGCAGTTGAGGAGCACAGAGAGTGATCTCCCCAGGGACTCACAGCACGGGCAGCCAGGCTAGACCTCCTGCCTTCTAGCCTGGCCTCCTGTGTGCCTTCTGGCCAGAGGAATATCTAAAGATGGTGCGGTGCAGAAAGGTAGCACAAGTGAGGCCCGGCCACTCCTGGCAGACACCCCACTTCCTACATTCTGTCTTTACAATCTGTCCCCTCACTTCTTGTCCAGGCCCAAGTTCCAGCCATGAGGGAGGCCAGGAGGATGGGCCAGCAGGATGGAGGGCCCGCCTGAAGCCCGTGGATAAGAAAAGCCCCGCTGAGAGGTGAGGGCCCCACCCAGACCCCCATCTGGGCCTGCTCCCAGGGCAGGTGCGAAGCTGGGTGCACACTGGTCCAAGGATGTATGCTCATCCTTGCATGATTAAGCGTATGTGGCACCTGCCTGAGTGACACGGGGGACCACTCACCAGCTTGGGGACAGTTTCAGATTCACCTGGGACACAGTGGCAGATGTGCAGGTTCACATTCTTATGTCCAGACCTAGGATGGGTGTCTGCCCATGTGTGGGTCCCTCACTCACACAACAGCATCTGGAAGTGAACACACATGTATGCTATGGGGGGGTGTAAACAGGTGCAGGTGGCTAGGCCCACCACTTCTTGGGCAGCTGTTCCTTGGGCTGGTTTGCACAGTTCAGCAACCCCTCTGGGTAGATTGGATCTGACATTGCACCTCTGCCCAGGCCTCTGAAGCTCAAGGAGCCACAGACCCTGGCAGAGCCAAAGGTTGGGGAAGCCCCCAGGAAGGTCCCCAGCAGCTTCACAGGAGGCATCCATGTCACCCTGATCCCTGTGCGGCCTGACAGGACACTACACCCATCCAGCCCCAGGCCTGGCCTCTCAGGTACTGCTGGAGGGATCCCAGGGTCTCCAGCTGTGCCCACCCTCCCCTCTGGGGCCCCAAGGTAGGACTGTCCTCCCAGGGTGTTGGGGGAGGGCAGCAGCTCTGCTCAGCCAGAGGAGTGGGTTTGTCCTGGCAGGCACACACACGCATGTGTGTGTGTATGCATGCCTGTTCATTATGTAAATGCGTGCAGATGCACATGTGTGTCTGCGTTTTGTTCCCAACACTTATATTCACCCTTGGAGCCATATCCAATTCTCATGCCACTTCCTGTGTGACCCTAGGTGGTCACCAACCCCCTAGACCAGTTGCCTTAATACTAGCAGGGCCAGGGTTCTGCCCTCCCTGAGTGGACATGACTACTCTCTGGGCAGAACATGGGTGATGACTATTCTGGAACAGACCCCAGGCTCTCAGTTGGCCCCTGGCTCAGGGGAGGACACTGGGCCTGGTGGCCTGACCTATAGCTCTTGTCTCCACACCTGGGGGCAGCCGCATGCCCCTCCCCATCTCACCGCAGGAAACTGGCCATCCCTGCCAGCCTCAACATTTCAGATGACTGGCTTCGGCCTGAGCCCTCTGTGCAGGAAGGCTCAGCCCAGAGCTGGAAGAAGGAGGAGAAGCCCCATTCTCAGAGTAAACCAGGTCAGCCCCAGAGATGCTTTTTCTGTTAGGGAGATATATAGAGGCTTCCTCTGAGGAGGAAATGCCTACCAGGGCTTTGAAAGATGTATAGGAGCTCGTTGGGCTTAGACTGGAGGGAGGCCTCATTCCCTGTGCCCCGTCCCCTCCTCATGAGGAGACCCTACCAGCCTCATAGCACCTTGTCTCCACACCTGGTGAGGGTAGAGTGTTCCCTCCTAGTGCTAGAAGGACCGGGGTGGCCGGGGTGCTGAAGAGGGTATGCTTGTGTGAGATCTTGCCTTGTGGGCACACTGGGGTCTGCCCAGGTGCCTGTAGGCAGAGTCAGGGAAGCCAGGTGGGAATAGAGGGGACATTGGTGGCCTGGTGTCCCAAGGCCCAGATGCTCACTCTGTGCTTTCCTAGGGAGGCCCTCAGGCCCGGCCAGTGTCCCTGATCTGCCTGGCAAGGCAGTGACCTCTCTGGTCAGGGTGAGTAGGCAGATGGAGGGCAGGGGACAGGAGTGCAATCCTTGGGGTCCCCCTCACCACCTCTTTGTCTGCCATCAGTGCCCTGACTACGTCCTGCAGGAGGAGATCCAGAGGGAGGTGCAGAGCATCGAGAGGCAGCTGGATGCCCTGGAACTCCAGGGTGTGGAGTTGGAGAAGCGTCTGCGGGCAGCCGAGGGAGGTGAGCCCAGGCCGGCCCAGTCCTGAGTACTTCAGCCTAGCCACCTATTGGCCTGAAATCCTGTGTGGGGCTGGGAGCCAGGTGCCCGGCGCAGCCCTCCCTGTCCTACATGGCTGCAGCCCCTTCTTTCCTTAGATGATGCAGAGGACGGCCTCATGGTGGACTGGTTCCAGCTTATCCATGAGAAACAGCTGTTGCTGCGGCAGGAGTCAGAGCTGATGTACAAGTGAGAGAACCTTCCCGGAAGGGTGGGTGCCCAGTGTGGCCGGGCCAGGGTGGGGAGGCCAGCCTGGGCAGCCCAGACCTCAGCCCCATGTCTGCCATGGCAGGTCCAAGGACCAGCACCTGGAGGAGCAGCAGCTGGGCCTGGAAGGCCAACTGCGCAGGTTGATGGCCAAGCCTGGTGTGTGCCCCATCTGCTAGGAGGGTGACATGGGGGGGTACTTTCCACAGGCCTGCAGGTGGGAAGCCCTGGAAGGTGTGTCATGGTGGTAGAGCCTACTCTGGAGCCAGGTAGGCCTGGGGTCAAGTTTCAGTTCCCTGGGCCTGACTGTGTGTTTTCAGCCAAGTCACTAAACCTCTCTGTGCCTGGACATTCTCCTCTCTAAAGTGAGGACAATCAGCTCCTACCTCAAACAGTTGTGATTAAATGCCCATGTGAGGCACTTAGCACAGTGACAGGGAGGCAGGTAGTGAGCTATCAACAAGCATGAGCTTTTGGGATTTTGAGTTGACCATGCTGAGAATCCCGGTTTGAGGGCTCAGGCCCTGGCAGCCCTTCCTGTGCTGTGGGACTGGGGATGTGGCACCTTGAGGCTGTGTTTGCATAGCTCTGCAGTGGCATCATTTTTGTGAGATGATAAGAGGGGCCCTCTTGCTCAGCGTTGCCAAGAGCAGCAGGGTGTTGCATCCTGGGCTGAGGGCAGGCTGTCCCCACAGAGGGTCTGAAGTCACCACAGGAGCGGCAGCGGGAGCAGGAGCTGCTGGACCAGTATGTGAGCACTGTGAATGACCGTAGCACCATTGTTGACCTCCTGGACGAGGACCGGCTCAGGTGTGGCAGGGCACTGGGAGAGTGTGGGGCATGGGCCGTCTTTCCAGGCAGGAGCAGTACCCACCATACGGGGCGGAGCAAGGCTGGGGGGATGGCAGACCCAGGCCAGGCAGCAGTCTCAGGGGCTCTCTGCCTCAGGGCCCCTTCCTGCTCCATGTTCCTGCTTTTGGGCACTGTCCAGTGGAAAGTCTCTTTTAATAGAAATTGTTCTGCTGTCTGTGCTAACATGGCAGGCACTGACCACACATGGCCGTTGGGTACTTGCAATGTACCCAACTTAAAATCTTAAGTTAAAGAGTTTAACTTAAAATCTTATTCCTGGCTCGGCGCCTGTGGCTCAAGCAGCTAAGGCGACAGCCACATACACCTAAGGTGGCGGGTTCGAATCCAGCCCGGGCCTGCCAAACAATAATAATGGCTGCAACCAAAAAATAGCCGGGCGTTGTGGCGGGCGCCTGTGGTCCCAGCTACTTGGGAGGCTGAGGCAGGAGACTTGCTTGAGCCCAGGAGTTGGAGGTTGCTGTGAGCAGTGAAGCCATGGCATTCTACCCAGGGGGGACAGCTTGAGGCTCTGTCTCAAAAAAAAAAAATCTTATTCCTTAGCCAGGTGTTGTGGCATGTGCCTATAGTCCCAGCTACTTGGGAGGCTACAACAAGAGATCACTTGAGGGCGGTGCCTGTGGCTTGAAGGAGTAGGGCACCGGCCCCATATGCCGGAGGTGGTGGGTTCAAACCCAGCCCTGGCCAAAAACTGCAAAAAAATTAAAGAAAAAAAAAAAGAGGATCTCTTGAGCTGAAGACTTTGAGGTTGCTGTGAACTAAGATGATGCCATGGCACTCTACCTAGGGCAACAGACTGTGAGACTGACTCAAAAAAAAAATCTTAAATTAATGTGGCTATGTGTGTCTCTGGGCTGCTGCAGTGAGTGGTAGCTGCATGACTCTCCCCCCAAAACTTTCTGTCCCATATTTCATTGAGGGCTCTGTACAGGCCACCATAGGTTGGCACCTGAGGACAGCTTTAAATGTGACCTCTGAGAGCTCCACGGGGCCTTGGCACAGGTCAGCCCAGGCACTCCTGTTCCTAGGTCACTATTTTGATCAGCCCAGGGCCCTCCTGTCCCCAGGTCACTAGTGAGGTCAGCCGAGGTTTCTCTTGTCTACAGGTCCTTGGTTTAGTCAGCCCAGGCTCCTCCTCTCCCTAAGGCACTGTTGAGGGCCATCTCTCCAGGCAGGAGCAGGATCCACCATCCCGGAGAGGGAGGGAGGGACTTTCCAGAGAGAGAAAAGTACACTAGGTGTGGCCTGGTGTCACAGCAGAGAAGGTGGAGTGATGTCAAGGTTGGGTGGGGCCTAGGGCTCAGGGTGAGGAGGGCTGGAGGTAGTCCAGGGCCTGCCAGTGTGCGCTGCTACTCAGGGCCACGCTTCCTGTTTCAGGGAGCAAGAGGAGGACCAGGTGCTACAAGACATGATCCGGAATCTGGGTAACTCGGGTTGGGCAGGCCTGGGGGGATGGCATTGGACCCCTGTGGGGCAGGTGCTGGGCCCAGCCAATAGCCTTGGTGAGAGGACAGGCAGGCTCACCCTGAGGGTGTGTGCTCCCTGTCACCCCAGGGAGCCAAGGAGTGGCCAATGACTACATGGTCAGAGTGTGGGGGGACACTTAGCATGGCCTTGCCCTCTGCCATAAAGGCAGGCATGTGGGTGGTCATGTGGAGAAAGTGTGAGCCTGGCCCTCATGCTGGGGCCCAGCTTCCTGTAGCTCTGGGGACTCAGGGAAGACTCTGACCTATGGAAGGGAAGGACATTCCGGGTGGGGGGACTTTGCATGGAGGCTGCCTGTCCATGGGTACAGCCTCACTATCCATCCCTCCCCTTCAGGCCTCCAAAGGAAAAAATCCAAGTTCCGCTTATCCAAGATCTGGTCCCCAAAGGGCAAAAGCGCCTCTGAGTGAGTTGCGAAGCAAGGACTGCAGGGCCGCCCTGGCCCTGCCATTCAGACTCAGGAAAGGACTCGTGGTGTGGCCCTGGAGGGGGCACTTAGGACAGCAAGGGCCTATGGCACCCTCTCTGGGTGCAAGACTCTCAATAAAGAAATTGACTGTGGGACCTGTCTGCTGTCACTTTTGCCTCTATGCCCCCTGGAGGCCCAGCCCCTGAACTAGAGGCCTCAGCTGAGTTCCAGCTCTGTGGCCTTAGGCAGTGTTGACCTCTCTGGGCCTGGCTAGGTCTTCTGAGGTGGGCCCTTAAGCTGCTTACTGGCTGCATAGACATGCTGGACATGAACCTCAGAGGAGATGGAGTTGGGGCGGGGTAGGGGGGGACAGTGTCTGTGCGAAATGGGAGCTCAGGTGCTAGCCCTGCTAGGAGATTTTGATGTCTCAGCAGCCAGAGACCTGTAACCTTGGTCTCTCAGGGTGAAGCTGTGTCATGCACGGGTGAGTGGGCCCTGTGATGGCAGAATTGGAGCCCTGCGCCTGTATGGGGCCAAGTTCCTAAAGGCCAGGGCAGCAGAGGATTGGGCCACCATCCTTCCTGACTTCTGATGGTGACCAAGTAAGTGCCTGCCATGAGCTCAGGGAGAGCGATTTGTCTCCAGGAAGGGGTGGGTGGTTGTGACTGCATCTTACTGCAGTGGTCCTGGTAGACCCTTGGCAGTGGCAAAGCCCCAGTATCCCCACTTGGAAGTGGGCTGGGTCCAGACCCCAGGGTTCCCAGCAAGGCCTAAGTGCCTAGCTGGGTATATGGGTCCATGCAGCTCACACTGGCTGGTCCCATGTCCTACTGCCTTCTCAGGGCACTGGAGGGTCTCAGCCAGGACTCCTGGGACAGAAGTGGCTGTCATTGCAGGGTCAGAGCACCACAGCTGTGTGGTTGGGGCATGGCCCTCTCTGAGCCTTTGGTGACAATGGCTGCATGGGGGCTGGGTGAGGCTGGGTGGGGTCCACGGGTGGGTCTGGAACAGCAGTGAGGGTGGGGAGCTCAGAGGCTGTTTTCTTGCCCTCTGCTGAGGTTGAGGGTCCTGCTGCCTCCCTTGGGGCATCTGCTGCTCCCTCAGATGCTCAGCATCCCAAGGAGGGGAGAGGCTCCCATGGTGAGGCTGTTCCACATGCACACAGCAGCAAGTGGGCAGTGGGGTCCATGCTCCGCATGGCCTGAAGCCACTGGGACCAAGTGTCACCTTGGAAACTGCCAGTTTTGGGATTCCTGAGGTCCTGGAGACTGCTCCAAGGGGGTCTCAGCTGGGTGTGGACAAGCAGGGGTCTCCAGGTAGATGGGGGGAATGGTAGGGCAGTATTCTGGGAGTGTGAAGATACAAAGGGGTGTGGTGACGGGTTGCAGAAGGGGCAGCAGAGCCTGGCTGCAGCAGACAGACTGGGTTCCCCAGGTACTGGGTGCCATGGGCATTTTTGAGCAGAGGCCCGGTGGAGTCATGTGTGTTAGGAGTGTGAAGCGGTAGAGGGGCTGAGCCTGGGGTGGGGCTGAGCCTCCTAGGCTGGACACCAAGGACACCTGCAGTGCAACCTTGCCACCACCAGGGGGAGGCCATGTGCCACTCAGCTGGCAGGGGTGGCCGAGTGCAGCAGCGCGGAGCCTCACTTTAATGATGAGGAAACCAAGACTTGGGTGCTACAGCCTGTGCAGTCACACAGCAAGATAGGTGAGGTCAGGGGCTGGGACCTGGGCTGCCCCCTGCCCTATTGTGGGATGGGGCAGGGAAGGAGAGTGATGAGGGATTTTTGAGGCGGAGAAGGGAGTGTTGTCAGCTGGTTAGTTGCATGGGTGCCTGGGCTGGGTCCTGCTGGGGTTTGAACCTTGAGGTCCTCCTAGGGCGAGGAAGCTGAGGTGCTAATACTCTGGCTCCCACCTCTTGGGGATGTTCCTTAGGGACCCCAGAGGCAGCCACAGGGGTGTCCAGTGGACACTGGCTGGGCACATGGTGCTTGGTAAGCAGAGCCCCGAAAGTCATCAGGTCTAAGGCCATGGAGCCAGCCCAGCAGGATGTCCTTGCAGACTGCAGAGCCCAGCACTGTCTAGCGGGACAGCAAGAATGCATCGTTGGGGCCACAAGAGTTGACCAGGTCCTGCTACGTCCATTCAATAAGAGGCGGTGCTCGGCCCCACTCTCCTGGGTGACATCAGGCAACTGCAAGGCACACTTCATCCTGCAGTCCATATGTGTGGATATTCCCAGGGCCTTCCTCCCCTGCCTGTGTATACCAGAGGAGCTCAGGGCACATCAGGGCCTTTCTCCAACAACTGGTACTCCTGAGTGGATATCAGAGTTGGGCTGTTGTTAGGTAAGGGCTGGTACCTGAACATGCTGGGGCTGAGCCTGCAGCCTATGGGGTCTGAGGAGCAAAGGCCAGATTTTGGAACATCCAGCAAGGACCGAGGCCTGGCCAAGAGGGCTGTTGATATATGCTCCTGGGCAGCGAATGTATGGGCACTGGGCAGACTGGCATGGCTACAGCAGGAAACATGAGGGGTAAGGCCAGGTAGGCAGGGTCTTCCCTGGGAAGCTCAAGGTTTGGACTTCCTCGGGGTACTGGTGTGTAGGAATGGGAAAGAGGGCTCTGTCCACTTTGACCTGTGGCAGGGCTTGGGCTGGCTTCTGGAAATGCCTCCACTTTCACCTCTTCCATCACCCCTCGAACCCTGACCTCTGTGCCAGGGAGTCTCTGCACTTGCTGCTCTTGCCTGGTCTCCCCAGAGTCTTCTCTGCCCCGTTTTCTTGAAAGTCACCTTCTGTGCTGAGATGTTTGGTATGTCTGCCCCTCTTCCTATGATGGAGGCTCCTGTAGTCAGGCAGCTCCTCCACCTTTCCGGCACTGTGTCCTCAGTTCTGTGTCCTTAGCACCTGGCATAGCCAAGAGCCTAACAAATATTTGTTGAGTGAGTGAGTAAGTCAATGAATGAATGACATGGGGTCTCAGCTGGCCTGGGCCTCAGTCCTCCAAACTGTCAAAGGGGGCTGCAACACTGCCCATGTCCTCTGGCCCCTACCTGAGCCTGACCAGTCTTGCACTTGGGGGATCCAGGGAGCTGCACCTGCCCCACTCTAGGTTGGGAGGATTGAGTTAGATCGCTTGGGTGATCCAGCACCCCACCAGGGAGCACAAGCTCAGGCACCCCGCAGCCCCTGGGCTTGAGGGGAGCAGGGGAAAGATGGGGAGGTCCTCAGGAAGAGGGCTCAAGGGCTCAGGAATTTCCTGGGGCATCTCAGAGCTAGGGCCTGCTCCCCTGCCTCCTTCCTCTCCATCCCCTGCTGCTGGGCCCAAGAGGGAGCTCAGCTCAGAATGGTAAGGTCTGGTTGGGCACAGAGACTGACCTATATCTGTATGATGGGGGCTCAAAGGACCCTCCTTCAAAGCTGCCCCACAGGAGTAAGGGATGAGTATGCAGAAGAGACCCCAGTAACTTCCATGGTAGTGAGGCTCAGTATCCAGTGGGGGAGTTGGCTTGACCCTTTCCATGGATCCTAACCCTCAACTTGGCCCAGACCTTTCAGAGGTGAAAGTAGAGGTAGGGGGGAGGGGTTTTCTGGTCACTCAGTCTTTCTAGGTGAGGCCAGCAGGGGTCTCCAGTTGGGGCAAGAGCAAGGGTGTGGGGAGTGAGGGGATGGCCATACCATGAAGCCCCTCACAAACCCTGGGGAGTTAGAGGCAGCACTCTGTCCCCCTTGACAAGAGGGAAAACAGTCATATGCCCAGGTCACATGTCAGGAGTGGGAGGGGCCTGGGCTTTCATGCGTGGCCTCTCCCTGGGAGGGTGCAGGGCACAGATTTCTGTGTGGCCTTTGCCCAGCATCTCAGCATCCTTCTAGTCTTCATCCTGCTTTGAGAGTTTCCTCAGAAGAAAGATCTCTCCCCAGGACTCCACAAATATCTCCTGGGTCTTGCCCTGACTTCCTCCTACTGCTGACATCCCTCTTGGGCCAGCGTGCCAGCTCACAGTGGAGTCGCCAAAAAGGACCTTCTAGGTTCACAGGACCATTGCCCAGAACCGGGGGCACGGAGATACTGGTAGGTGCTTGTGGATGCTCTATGTCCCTGGGCCATTCACCTAAATCTGTGGAGCCCAGGGTGAGGACTGAGCCCCAGTTCACCTTCTTTCATCCCCTCAGTGGACACTGCTCATGCTCCCTCTGGGCCTAGGGCTGCACCCCAGGGCTTCAGGGCTGTGGCTCAGGAAATTCAGGAGTCTCCAGGACCTGAGCATAAGGTGGGAGGTGGGTGTGAATTTGGGGGCTGTGTCCTGCCTACCCTCCAGATCTTAATCTCTAGAAGGGGCATGGCCAGAGACCAGGCTCCAAGACCTTTCTTCTTCTGCAGACCTGGCCCTTCTTGGCTCTGCCTCCTGCCACTGGAAACCCACCACCCCCACCCCCACCCCCACCTTGCAGCTGCCTTGGCTTTCCCTTACCCTCTGGGCTAGGAGCCTGGACCTCCGGGCCTCTGCCCTTGCTTTTCACTCTGCCTCCCAGGGACCCCTCCCAGTGCAGGACTTTGAGCAGGTGGCTATGGCAGGCACTGGGAGCCCTCCTGCCTTCCCGTTCACCCAAGTGTGCCCCCTCAGACCAGCCCTGAGGAGTGACAGCCTGCTGTCCCAGGCAGAGCTCCAGAGCCATGCAGAAGTCTCCCAGGTGGGCTGGAAGCCCTAATGAAGACAGATCGCGTGAATGCTGGCCCATTAAATTGTTAATAAAGAATATCACACACACACACTTTAATCGGTAGCCGGCCTGACACTTTATAAAGTACATTAGGATGTAATCCAATTGAAACTGCAATATCGAGAGCATCTTATCTTATCACAAATTGAAATTATATCATATTCCTTTTTTCTTAAATTAAAAAGCTAAAACCTTTTCCTTTGCTCTCAACATGGTTATGTAAAACTTAATCAGTGGTTTTAACAACATTATATTTCCATATGGGCCGTTTCTATTTTCATTTATTTACAAAGGAGAACTTTCTGGAAAGGGTGATCGAGTTTGTGAGTGGATGCAGCAGGCACTTGGACTGGTGCTTGGTAAGAGGAACTTGTCCTCACCTGCATGTTCCAGGTGGCTGAGGTCAGGGTCTGAGAATACACAAGGGACA